AGGGGGATCTCTGTGAGTTCAAGGCCAGCCTGGTCTACATAGTGAGATCCACCTGCCTCCAGCAGGGGCTGGGAGACCCTGTCTCAAAAAAAGACCAAAAAAAATTATTTATATGCACACAACACAATATATAGTGACCCCAATAAGCTGTATTACACACACACAGACACACACACACACACACACACATAAATATATAAATTTTTTTTGAGACTGGTTCTCACTATGTAGCCCTGACTGGCCTGGAACTTGCTATATAGACCAGGCTGGCCTTGAACTCACAGAGATCCATCTGCCTCTGCTCCTGGGTGCTGGGATTACATCATACTGAACTACCATAGATATTTTTGATTGTTTTTGCTGATAGCACTCCAAGTTAGATTTTGAGATTATTGTGGGTAGGGTGAAACTAAGTTATTTATGTCTAGTTTAAAAGGCAATAGATAACATGTAGAATTTTATCTTGGGGCTTGAGGCTCTTGGTTATTATGAAATACAGCATTCACCTTTAGTTTAGAGCTTTGGGTATTTTCAGTGTTTTGTCTGGGATTTCTTCTTCAGATAGCTGTTTTTTTTTGAAATCTAGACCTTCTGTCTTGCTTTTATACCCAGTGAATTCAAGTGAATTTTGTAAGTGATTTTAAGAAGATAGGGTCAGCCAGGCACGATAGTGCAGGCTTATGGTCCCAGTACTTGGGAGGTAGAGTCAAGAAAATCAGGTATTCAAGGCTGGTCTTGGCTACGTAAGTTCAATGCCAGCCTAGGCTATAGGAGATTCTGCCTCAAAAATAATAAATAAATAAATAAATAAATGAATAAATAATGAAATAGTCAATTGGAGTAACATAACAAAGTATTAATGAATCCAGCTGCCTGGGAGGAGTCAGTCACCCAAGTGGGTGAGTGACCATAAGTTATTAAGCTTATTTGTGTCTCAATTTCCTCATGCTTTTGTTAAGGGTGGATGACGATAGAACATACTTCAAAGGATTGCAGTGAGAAATGAAAGGTCATACATGTTAAGTGCTTAATATAGTGTCAGACACATAAAATTCTATAACAATTCTATAAATTTTAGTTATTAATTTTTATTGTTCTGAGCATGTGAGGATGAGTGGACTGGTCTTGTGGTTTAGTGTCATTTTGGCACTATTTCTATATAACCATTTCAGAAGAGCAGCTTATTAATTGCATGTGGAATAGTGGTGTGTACATATGTAGTATGTAATAGTAGTGTGTAAATGGGTACCTCCATCTTCTTTTCTGCCCAAGCCATCTAAAGGTATGCTTTGAAATGATTTCTTTAGTTTATTATCATTATTTTGCATGTGTATGCATGAGCATGCATGTCCCTGTGTACATGTGTGTGCATGTGGAGGCCTGAGGTTGATGTCAGCTACCTTCTTTGATCTCTCCACCATATATATATATATATTTTTTTTTTAACTAGAATTTTTGTTTAATTTGTTTTTTGTTTTTGTTTTTGAATTTTTGAGACAGGGTCTCCCTGTAGCTCCAGCTGGCCCAGAACTCACTATGTGGACCAGACTGACCTTGGTCTCACAGAGATCTGCCTGACTTTGCCTCCCAAGTGCTGGGATTAAAGGTATGCCACCATGCCTGGTCCTATTATTTTAATTTTATGTGTATGGGTGTTTTGGCTGCGTATATGTAAATGCATCTGTGTGTGTAAGCCTGTGGAAGCCAGAAGAGGGCATTGGATCTCCTAGAACTGGAGCTCTGGATGGCAGTTAGCTGGGTACTGGGACTCAAACCCTGGTCCTCTGAAGAGCAGCCAGCACTCCCAACTGCTGAGCCACCTTTCCTCCCCTCTCCACCTGACATTTTGAGGCAGAGTCTCACACTTTAATCTAGAGCTTGCTAGCTAGCCAGCTTGATCTGGGGATCCCGTCTCTGCCTCTGTGGTGGGGTTATAGGCAAGTCATCATGCCTACCTAGCGTTTATATGGGCGCTCATGCTTGCATGGCAAGCACTTTACCCACTGAACTATGCTCTAGCCCCTGGCTTATTTTTTTGAATGTACAGTTCATTAGCTTTTAGCATGTACACAAAATTATGCAGCTATTGCTACTATTTTTATTATTATGACATTTATTTACTTATTTTTGGTGTGTTTGTGTGTATGTGTCTGTTGGCCTGCATGAGCCATAGTGTGTGTATATGGAGGTCAGAGGACAACTTTTGGGAATTGGTTCTTTCCTTTCACCGTGTGGGTCCTGGGGATCAAACTCAAGCCATTAGCCTTGTTAACAAGGGTCTTAACTGCTGAATCATCTCACCAATCAGGTATCAGTATTGTTTAATTCATACATTTTTATTAACCTTAGAAGAAACAGCAAACATGATAGCCATCTCTCCTGTTCCTCTCACTTCTGGTTGGTGGTCACTAGGCCACCACTAATCTATTTCTTTGGCATTATAGATTTGCCTGTTCTGGACATTTTGTATTAATGGGATCATAACTGACCTTTTGCGTGTGGGTTCCTATACTCAGCATGATGGCTTCAGGGCTGATTGTGTTAGCATGTATCAGCAGTCTGTTCCTTTTGATGGTTGAATATTATTCCTTTGTGTTATCACATTGTGTTTGTTCATCCATGTGCCTGTTATGAGTAATGTCACTGTGGACATTTGTGCGCAGGTCTGTGTAGACATGGTTTCAATCCCCTTGGGTAAAGCCCTCAGAGTGGAATTGCTAGGTCATGTGGTGTGTATTCAAAGAATCTGCCATTTTGTTTCCACAGAGCCCGGTGAAGTGTTGATGAGGTGTGGCCACATGGTTCCAATGATTATTTTATTGAGAACTTTAATTCTTCACGTCATCCTTTTTCTTTCCACTTACAAAAAAATGTTTTGTACAGACATCTTTGTTCCCTTAACAGTTCTTTACTATCCATAAGAATGGTGTCACTCCCAGAGCAACAGAGCCTGGAAGAGGCACCTTGGTGGAGATCACACTGTCACCTGTGTGCCTGGCCACCTCAAGTCCTTTCTCAGAATACCAGGGACCCTGTTAGTTTAGGAAAAACAATTCCTAGTCCCAGCTGGCTTGCCAGTCTGAACATTTTTGACCTTGATCCTTTTGCTTTTTTTGGAACCATGTCCCTGAGGGAAAAGCTTGTCCTTTCTCAGATGTGTGTCTGTGTTTCTCTCACTCACATATTTGCTGTCTTTCCTGTCTCTGTGGAAACCTGCGAGCTCCCTTGACCAGCCATTGATAAATACATTGACAATACTGTGGCCTTCACCTGTCATTTTCTGCTGTCCTTCCAACGACAAACAGAAGTCTTTAAACAGCAGTCACATGTACCCACTTCTTCTTGACTACTGTTGTTATTATTATTTTTTTCTAGAACCATCCAGTAAGCTTACTAAAAATGCAGCTTGTGGCACCTATCCCAAAGAGTGTGGTGTGCAAGCCTGGGGCTGACTTGGGAATCTGCATTGCAGTAACTATGCTAGGTGGCTTACCTGTGGGTGATCTGGGAACATCCTTTGAAACAAAGCTCTAAAAGCTATGCTTAGGGCTGGGTGATGCTCTGTAGGTTTGGGGATCTCCTGAACCCATGTCATA